CATAATCTGTCAATACAGTTACAAGTCCAACCATATCCTCCTTTGTTTGAGCAATCTTGGTATCAAGCTTATCACATAAGTCTGTAATAATTTGCTTCATCTCCTCTCTAAATTCTTTAAGAATCTCAAAAAGAAATTCTTTCGTTAACAAATCTCCAGTAGGGGGCGTAGAAGGCAAGGGCTGCGACCTTGTAACAAATGCCTGAGATGTATTGCTAAGAAGACGTCTCCCCGATCTTGATTTCGGTGCCATTATAGAAAGGAAGCAAACAAAGTCTCTGCTCGCGTTAGTTTCAAATAAAATAATTTCAGTAAATTTTTAGAGGTTGATAAGAAAAAATCTTCAAGGGGGCTAATTAAATTGTGAGAAGTTATTCCTTTGATTCTGTGCCAGGAAGTTGGAGATATATCGTTATAGCAAATGCGGAAGCTAAAAAGTCGCCATTTTAAAAACAATTAAACAAAGGAGTTTTTTTATAACATTGAGGCTGGTATTTTGATAGAAAAAAAAATAAAGAAAAGTTCACAGGTTTGGTCTCTGCTCGTATTTATTTTCAATGGCTTAGTTTCAAAAGAATGTCCTGAGGGGGTGGGGGGTCCTCGCCTTGAGCTGGAAAAAAAAACAGCTGAGAAGAATTAAGAATAATTCTAATTATTCTAATTAAGAATAATCTTGATGACAAATTACTTGCCATTATTTTATCTTCTCAAGTTTAGTAGTCGTAAAATAATGTTTTTTGAATACAGCTCTCTTGTTAAATAAGCTTTTAGATAAATTTATTCCTTTTGGGAAGCTTTTCATTGAAACTCGTTCTATGTCAGTGTTGTTTTATTATAGCAATAGCAATAGCAGTTAGACTTATATACCGCTTCATAGGGCTTTTTATGTAACCTGTCCAATTGTATTTCAGGTGTCTTTTTTTTCTTTTAACCTTTTTAGAGCTCTTTGTTCTGAATCGCTCATTTTTCTTTTCAAATTTCTCTTCAAAAATATTCTTTCCTTTTGTTTTTTTTAAAGGTGGGTGATTCTCCAGCAGATGTAGCAGATAAAGCAGATAGGATTATTACAATGCTTCCATCTAATCTTAATGCAATAGAAGTTTACATAGGTACCAATGGAATTCTCAAGTAAGATTCCCCTTTTCTCTTTATATTAATGTTCTGCTTGTATTTTTATTGAATGTTATTAAATGCATGTAGCAGTTCAGTAATTTCTCTAGACAATTACATTGTTGTGTTTGTGTCCAGCTATCATATTAAAGAAATGTGCATGTTTCATTGCACATAGTTAAGTATTGTTACAGTTTTATAGAGCAACTTGATGTCTTACAAGTCCCAGCATATTTCATTAATGACTGCTGGTAGGGATTGTAGTTAACATTATCTAGATGTGTTATATTGTTTCCTATTATATTTATATTGTACTTTTCTCTGAGCGTTCATATATAGAGGTCATGCTTAATTTTACAAGAAGCCCTCAACTTACTACCATTTATTTTGTGATTGTTTGAAGTTACAGTGGCACTGAATAAAGTGACTTATGACCATTTTTCACACTTAACAACTATTGCAGCATCCCCATGGTCATGTGATCAAAATTTAAATGCTTGGCAGCTGATTCATATTTAGGACAGTTGCAATGTCCTAGTCACCTTTTCCAACCTTCTGACAAGCAAAATAAATGAGGAAAACAGATTCACTTAACAACCATGTTACTAATTTAACCACTGCAGTGATTCTCTTAACAACAGTGGCAAGAAAGGTCATAAAATCGGGCAAACCTCACTTAACAAATTCTTCACTTAACAGAAAATTTGGGCTCAATTGTAGTCATAATTTGAGGACTACCTGTATCGGCACTATAACAATTTTGTGAGAAAATTGGAGCTGAGAGAGAAACTGGTTGAAAATGGCAGCCTGGAATCTCTCACCAGAGAAATGGGTGATATATAAATTTAATAAACAAACAAATAAATAAATAAAAAATGTATGAAGGTGTGCAGAATTTTCATCCCTGGAAATAGAGCCCTCTTCCACTTCTTCTCAAAGAAAAAAACGACAGTAATAATGAAAATAACTTAAGTTTTTGCAAGCTACAGATAATTTATTGTGAATTTATGAAATCACTATCAAAAACCGTACTAATTAGTTTTACAAGTTGAACATTGTGATTTATTTTGGAATTATGAACAAATTGTAGCAACATCAAAGGGGTAATGTTAATTCTCTGCATTTTACCTACTTGTGAATATATCTCAGGGTTTTGTTTTTTTGTCTTCATTTGCTTCAGGAAAGTGAAGAAAGGTTCTCTATTAATAGATTCCAGTACTATTGATCCCGAAGTTTCAAAAGAATTAGCTAAAGAAGCTGAAAAAATGGGAGCTGTTTTTATGGATGCCCCTGTTTCTGGTGGTAAGCCTTTCTCATTTTTTTCTCAGTTGCTTCCTTTTGGTTATTTGAACACTACTTTGGTCAAATATGTTCTTTGTGAAGAGGTGTACAGCTTGTTGAATATGAAAATATATTTTATCAGTTTTAAAACCTTTTTTTTCACATCCATCTACAAATTTATTTGAATTCACAAGGTAGACCTTGTTTTGCAACCATTTGTGTTCAATGTTCAAAAATTCTAATGGTGCTAAATGAATCAATTTTATGAAACCTACTTCTAATTTTTTTAAAAGATACTTTTTATATGTTATGTTTAATATTATACTTTACCCAGGGGAAAGACTAACAATTGATTACTTAGCAACCACTCAAAGTTATGACAAACAATCCCATAAACTAAGAGACAGTTATGGTTTTAAGAAGAGTCATCAGGACTTTTGTTTGTTTGTTTCTTTCTTGTTTTTAAAGCAAGTAACCCACATACTATCTCCACCTTGGCAACTTCAAGATGTGCGGACCTCAGTTCCCAGGATTTCCTCAGCCAGCCATGAAATCCAGACAAGATTGCCACAAGTAAAAAAACATTGAATAAAGATTAGATGATCGGTACCTTCCATTAAAGGGACTTTTTCAGTGGCTAAGACACTGAGCTTGTTGATCAGTGTTCAGCAGTTCGAATCCCTACTGCTGCATACCTGAATGAGCTCCCATTACTTGTCCCAGCTTCTGCCAACCTAGCAGTTTGAAAACACATAAAAAATGCAAGTAGAAAAATAAGGACCACTTTGGTGGGAAGGTTACCATGCTCCATGCACCTTCGGTATTTAGTCATGCCAGCCACAGGACCACAGAGACTTCTTTGGACAGCGCTTCAGCTTAGAAACAGAGATGAGCACTGACCCTAGAGCCAGAAACAACTAGCACATATGTGCGAGGGGAATCATCACCTTCCATTAGGTACTTTTGAGTAAATAGAAAATATATGCATGTATAGGTAATTTGAATTCTCCCATCCTGTCTGGATTCAATTGCCTTCTTATTACAACTCTGTGAGAAAAGAATCTGGCATGTATTGTATTCTAAGTGTTAGCTTAGAAAAAAGAAAGTCATCTTTGAGCACCTATATTTCTTTGTATGAACTTTGTTACTCAAGTGGCATTTGCAACACTTGCTAAAGTCAAAACTAAAACATTCCTTTTGGAATGCGGAGAGATTGTGAGTGGATTTGTGTGTAATTTTTTCTCACAATGGAGAAACTAATGGGGTGAATGGAGCCATTTTTACTAACCTACTTAAATGATTCTTAGAAGATTTGAAACAGACACTATAACCTATAAAGGATGCTTATTTTTATAAGCTTAAAAAATTCATGACTTGCCTACAGTATAGTACTTTTTAAAAAAAGAACTCAAACCTGTTTACAGGCTTCAATTCAGACACACCATCAAGTCAGTGCCTGTCTTTTAAAAATGGAAACATGTGCTCCTGGTCTTTCTATTTACTGAATCAGCACTCTACTGTTTCTACTTGCACTGAAACTAATTTACGATGTGACTATAAAAGCTAAAATTATTTATATGTTGGCATAAAAAGGCACCACTGTAGTTAAGAGTCTGTTGCCATTTCCATTATAAACCTTTCCTTGGAGAAATTTATAAGTTGGCATGTTTTTTTCTTCGCTTCAAGTTCTAGCCGTGCTGTTTACAAGTATAGTTGTGGTTTGGTTTCAAAATTTAATTTTAGTAAGATTGGTTCACTTCTATGTTTGATACAAATCTTGCTGATTTAACTTGCACCAATTGTAAGTATTTGATTAATTAACTCTTGAAGTTAACTAAAATAATTGGAACTTTTGTCTTTCCCTGAATTGCAAAATGGCTTTTTGTGAGAAAACATTTTAACTTAAAATTTCCATTTTTCTGGATAAATTTTTAAGTTAGGAAATCACTCAATTAATATATTCACAGATGAAGGCGAATATATGTGTCTCGGGATAATGTTGCAGCATCTAATCTGGGTCAGTAACCAGGACCAAAGAGTTTAGTCTTCCATGCTTTCGGACTGGGGCCTATTTTAAGGAAATTTCTCTCTAGCAATGTGTGTGCTGTTCTGTGTGTGGTATTTATAGTGCCTTTGCATGTGGCTATTTAGATGTATGTTGTTTTGGGTGTATTGTTGGCTTAAGTTGGTAGCGTTGTTTGCTTGTGTTGTTCAGCTCCTGCCTTCTAGGTACTTGAAAGGCTGGTGGTAAATGAACACTCCTGTAGATCAATGGTTCCCAAACTTGGCAACTTTAAGACTTGTGGACTTCAACTCCCAGAATTCTCCAGCCAGCAGAGCTGAAGTCCACAAGTCTTAAAGTTGCCAAGTTTGGGAACCATTGATCTACAGGAGTGTTCATTTACCACCAGCCTTTCAAGTACCTAGAAGGCAGGAGCTGAACAACACAAGCAAACAACGCTACCAACTTAAGCCAACAATACACCCAA